CAAAACTAAGAACTTCCCAAGAATATCAGGAGGGCTTTTGCTCCAAGTTGACCAAGGTGCCCTCGACAAGAAAACCAAGCACTGGCGTCCTTCCAGAAGAAGACCTGCTAGGGATACTGAGGCAGCATTGTTTTTTAATCAAAATGAGGGCAGGAGGCAAGGCTCTATCTCAACAACAAGGCTGTATCAGGATAGTGTCCTCCCAACCAACGGTGGTACCTAATGTGGGATTAATTTAAACTGCCGCTGCTACCCAATCACAAGTCAACAGAATATTCTAGAAGGAAATGGCCTTGCGTCAGGTGCTCAAGTTGGTATGCGTGCTGGGTTGCACAGTATCTGGAGCCACCCTGCCCAGAAGCAAATTCCATTTCTGCCCAGGGTGGTCTTTGTCCTTCCCTTCCCCAGACAGGTCTCCTGATATGTAAAAAGTGAACAGCACTGACTGTGTAGCATTGAGAGTTAAATCACTTAAAAGACTGAGGTTTTAGAGCAGTGTTTGGCTAACAACAACAACAACAACAAATTATTTAGCCCTGATTCTTTTCTTTTTCCTGTTTTTTTTTTTAATTGAAGTGCAGTTGATTTAGAATGTTACTTTCAGGTGCAGAGCAAAGCAGTGCAGTTATACATATACATACATATATATTTTCTTTTCAGAGTGTTTTCTATTATATGTTACTGCAAGAAATTGAATATAGTTCCCTGTGCTATACAGTTGGTCCTTGTTTATTTTATATCCATGATTCCTAAAGTCATCTCAATCCAGTGTCAACAGAAAAACTGTTGGACAGTTGAACTGTAGGATTCACTAGTTTTAGTGAATAAGAAGGTTTAACCTCAGTGTTTCACAGTTTTGAGTTGGCCCCCACCTGGTTCTCACGGGGCTTCAAGGGCTGACTTGAAGGTCCAGGCCCTCTTCCTTGGGTCCTCCTAGTAACCTTCCCTTGTAGGAAAACTTGGCTGACTTGGAAATCAGCTTGTCCTAAAACAAGTTTTAGCCTATGAATAGAAAGATCTGCGTTCAAGTGGCGAGCAGTAGAAGTGAGCTCAACTAAAAATAAATGCCCTTGGCGGTCCTAGAAGTGCCAAAACAAACGGACTGAAGAAATTCCAGGAGATGATAACACCCATATGCTCCAGCAGAGAGGAGGGCCGGGAGAGATCTGAACCCTGAGCCCTGCTAGTCCCAGCAGCGTGAGCCCCTCTGTGCAGTTCAGGTTCGCGTCTGAGCTGATACTCAGAAACATCTCCTTACTGTGGGCATGCCCCTCGGGGCCCTACAGGGCAATTGTGTAGCCCACTTTGAAGGCTTGGTAGCTACTGCAAGGGCTATGCAGTTTTTTACCGAAGTTTACATATTGTATTGTTCTCCCGGGTTGACCCTTGCAGGAACAATTAGATGAGAGTGGCAGGCTGACTTCTAAATGCATTAAAAACCCCGAGTTTCTTGGAGCCAATGAACTGCCATCATGTTGAGGTAGCCACGTTAACTATTTAGGTAACAAAGCCCCTGGGACACGGGTGCCTTGAAGTCAGTTTGCGGAGCCTGACCGCAACAGAATTCGCGAGCAACGCTTCAGCAGTTCTGGGCATTCAGTCATTATGAATGTAAATAGCCATGCACATGACTAGGTCCTAGTGATTTCCATCCCCCTGACCCAAAGGGGCAGGGAGATTCACCCCAAGTATTAGAGCTGAAAGGAAAGCCAGATCCAGTCCAACCATTTGATTTTTTTGAAAGCTCTAGAACCCTTTTCAAATTCTTGCACAGAACTCCAATGTTGAAAAGAAAGACTGGTTGAGACAGAGGCGGAACACCCAGGTTCCCAGCTGTCATGGCCTTTCCCCTGACTTCAGCCACCCCTGTGCCGCAGAGACACTCCTGTGAACCCCGTGACTTTGAGGAAACCACTCAGAATCTCATTTACCTCGACTTTTCACCTTTCTGAGCAGTTAGACCCTGGGATGGAGGATGCGTGGCGCTTCTACTTCTAAATTATTTTTTGAGGCCTCATTGGCTTTAGCTTACTTAGCCTAAGCATTAAAAGAACCTTAGGAGTAGAGGATTTCAGGCTCACCCCGTCCCCTTTATGAGAGTATGATACTGAACTTGAGACTTAACCGTCATGGATGGAAATAGACTACAGGCCCGCAGTCGTGTAATCCCCCAAAGCTTTAGAAACCAAAAGCCTCTTAACTGGTTTGGTGTCCCGGCTTCTCCTGGGGCTCCGTACAGCAGCGTTCCCAGATGAGTACCGGATATGTGAAGGGAGAACCGTCTTGAAGCTGGGACGGAAAAACTGCCGTGCTGCCGTCAGGGGGCTGAGCTCTCCCCGCTCTGCGTGATGCAGGGAATTCAGCGCAGCTAGGGAGACCTCTCTGCCCAGGAGCGATCTCTCAGAACAAAGTGCTTAGGCAACGTGAGAAACCAAGGACCAGCAAAGAGCTTATGGTCTGTCTTTGCCTTTTTTTTTTTAAAGGCCCTTTATAAAGCCAGCTAGTTTAAGCACCCCTGCTCCCACCCCGCTCTTTTAAACAGGCAGGGATGGTTGGTGAGAAGCATCCTCCACTTCTAACACGAGTGTTTCCCCTTCTTAATGGAGAGCTGTGTGTGTGTCATGGTGAAACACAGCTTTACGAGGGTCAGGCAGAGGCTTGGGTGAAGTGAGATAAGAAAGCTAGGAATTAAACTCCTTTGTGTCTTAAGATATGGGAATAAACACTAAGAAAATGCCTATGTCTGTCCTGAGCCTGCTCAACAGCGACTCTTGAAGCAGCACTGCTGGGATTGTAGCATCATTTATGACTGTTGACGATTTATATTGTTACAACTATATTCAGAGACCCTCCTGAAGGTGACAGCGGACTAAGCACCGGCCTTAGGCTATTGTGTGCCTGTATTTAATCCCAGGCCAGCTGGAGTGTCTGTAAAACTGGTAGCTTCAAGACTCATTTTTAAAGTGATCTGCCAGGTACCTAACCCCGACGTGGAAAACCACCATGTGACACCTGCTTTTAAGCCCCTGTCCACGTCTGATCATATGGCTACCCTTTGGACAGTGCAGATCTCAACGTGAATGTTTTCATCTCATTTGGACCCAACAGCCTTCGGTAACTAAAACCTTTAAAAAATTCAGAGCCTTTCCTTCTCCACAGTATCCCAATTGCAACAGGGCTCTTCTTTCCAAGTATATGGATATTTATGTTCAAACTGTGCTTTTTCCTACTTTTCAAATAAAGTACTCAAAGTAGAGTCCTCCTCCTCCCGCAGGCCTCGAGGCAGCGGGAATAGAGAGCGACAGGCCGCGGGCCCTGGGACAGAGCCCCCAGCACCGAGCCTCCTGAGACCACAGTGGTAACAGGCGGAGGGTGGCAGGCAGCCAGGTCCTTCCCACCTGGTTGAGCAGGATGAAAACCAGCCGCTGACGCTCCCTGGAAACAACTGCTACCCTCCTCTGGTTCTTCCTTTCAAATCCCTAGTATCTTAGGCCCAGCGAAATATTTGTGAACTGAATGAATAGTCTGAAATACAGGGAGGAAAAGCCACTGACTCATACTCCTTTGGATCTGAGTCCTAGCTGAACGAGACTCTTGGGGGCAGAGTGGTCCGTATAGTTTTTAAACAAATATGTTTAGTCCCTAAGGAAGTAACCACACACCCATACGGTAAACTAGGACCACATCTGAATCTCCCTGAATTAGCCACAAAGCGCAGAATGCTCCTAGACAGTAGGGAGCAGCTGACAGTAGGGAGGCCAACGAGAGCGTTGTGCGCACAAGAGTTCCAGTCTGTGCCTGTCGCCGCAGCATCTGCTCTTATGCCCGCGTGCCACAGCTGCCGATGCTGAAAGGTGCAGGAAGTCAAAAGGCTTTCTGCTTGGAAGGCCTCCCTAAGGAATCTGCATGAATTGTATGGCTGTACTGGTTTTCTCGAATATCTGCAGTATATGTGCGTTAAGCAGCCAGCTCTTTGTCTTTTATCTCAAAGAAATTACTTTGAGATCAGAACTGCTAACGCTAGGAAACACCTGAACGTTAGCTGTCCCATGCCAGGCAAAGAAAACTCAGCGCCCTGCCTACGAGTGTTAGTTCCTGCCATGGTGTGAATTCAACATTCAGACACTGAGCGGAGGAAAACTGAGGTTCAGAGAGAGAGAATCCAGGCCTGTGGCTCTACTTGGCTTTGCTTTTCTCCCATCACTAAGTTAAAAATGACCTCCTTTTTCCTCTTCACTGTACCTTCTTGATGCTTTTCATCTTATCTTGGAGTCGTTTTGTAAACATGTCTTTTTCAAATCAGACCTCAAATTCTAAGACAAGAGACCATGGATTAAACCTCTATTTCTCTCTATTGCTGCGTCTTCTAAATCTCCTTTACTTTGCTTGTAATCGAAGCATCATTCATGAATAACAATATAGAATGTGGACAAGAAATGCCATGAAAGGAGTAAGATTTGGCTGCGTGATGACAGCAACATAAGTGACTTAAACAAATGAGAGAAATGAGTCCAGAGGCAGGTGACCCCCTCCCTACACCTGTCTCCTCCCCAGTCCCTGGGCAACCTACAGTCTTTATCTTTGCCTGGCTCCATCAGTCCGAGATCACCATTCTGGTCACTGTGCCCAGTTTTCAGGAACCAGAAAGGAATGAAATTAAGGAAACTGGAGCCTCTGTCCCTTTGAGGGTATTTCCCAGAAGCTGTAGATACCATTTCTGCTTACGTCCCACTAGCGAAGACTTAGTACCATGGCTATGCCTCCTCCAAGAGAGGAAATCCAGTCTCACTGAGGTGGTGTGTGCCCAGCCAGGAACTCAGTTACTGTCAGCCATCGCCCCAAGGCCCATCCAGCACTGGCCCCTAGGATGTTACCGCCTGCTGAGCTGGCAGCTCGCTGTCCCTCTGAGAGCACTCTCAGCCATGGGTTTCAGGTAACTAGCATCTCTAACTTAACATCCTTGTGTCCCAGCCTAGCTAAGTGTTCCCTCCTGATTTTAGGAAGAAAAGCCAAATGTGAACCCTCCCAATTCCAGTGCACGAATGGCCGCTGTATCACGCTGTTGTGGAAGTGCGACGGGGACGAGGACTGCGCTGACGGCAGCGACGAGAGGAACTGTGGTGAGTAACGAGTCTGCCAGTCTCTCTGCCACCTCCCTAGGAGGTAGGCCTTTTACTGAAAGATGAGGCTGATCTCAGTGTCTGCAAATGTATCGAGGCTCTGAAAACAGCACCTACTCCGGAGAGCTGCTTTGAACCAGAATCCAAAGATTCTCTACTTCCTGGTCCGGAGGAATATATTTGAATGACATGAGGTTATCAACTTGAGTATGGAATTTTGAAGATAAAATGGAGTTCCTTTCAAATGACAGGACCTGGTTGATCTTAGATCAGGCAAGCATTTGGTACAGGAAGCTAGGGGAAGGAAGGAGAGGACCAGAAGGAGAGACAGGCAAAAGACCGCTTAGAAGAGACTTTCTGTTGTTAATTCTCAAATGGTTCTGATCCCAAAAAAGCAAGCCATGGACAGTAAGAAGCCCCCTACAGTTTCAAAGATTAATTAACTCCTGTCATAGAAACTATAAGCCAGCTCAGACCAAAGATCAGATAAGGAGTCTGTTTCTAATTCTCTGTCGACAGTAGACGCTAATGCTGAAGCGTTAGGCAGTATGGGAGATACTCTTTCCCCCGAGAAAACATATACCATCATACCTACCGTTCAGCATCTGTCAAAAGATCACTATGAGCAGTGCCTGTTTTATGCCGTCTGTGTAACCTCCCATCAAGCCAGAACCGCTGAGAACTACATGTCAAGACGGCCTTTCGGTACCTTGAACACATGCTGAACTTTGCTCTATTATCCCTTTGTTCTATGTCTTAAAAATCCCAGAACAAGGTCGTGCATAAATGTCGGTGATAAAAGCGTCATTTTCCTTTGAAAAGACATTACATAAAGGTGTCCACTATACAAACTAAAAACACAGATGACAAACAGAAGCTCAGTGTACATGTCATCGACTGCCATGTTGTTATGCCCTTACCCACTTCTTCTTGCATCATTACTAAAATGCTGTAGCATAAACATCCTGGCAGGCTGGCCTAGGCTGAGCTCTCAGAGCAGTAGCACAGAGGCTTTCCCGCCGATATGTAAATTGGGAGCTCATTTGGAAGCAGAGGAAGTCCATTCTGCAATCTGAGCAAAGAAACTTATCTCCAGTCTCAAGACCAAGAATAGTTCCCCCCTGTGACACTTGTACATCCTTTGCATTCTAACACTAAGAGTTTAACCTACTCTGCAAGACATTGAGTTCCATGCTAATTCTGGGTTACCTAGGCAATATAATTCTCTGTCTCACTGAAGGACCTCACTCTTGTCAACTGTTCTCCTGGTGTAAGGAGCAATTCTTCTATTCTAAACTATGTATTTGGCAAAACCCATTTTCTTTTCTTAAAGAGTAATTATTCACTCCACATTTTGAATTTGGAAGCCTTCCTTTACCATCTCATTATCTCAGTGGGAAAACCAGCCTGGGTCATCTTAGGGGTCATCACTGGCATTCCCTAAAATAGTCTGTACATAAATAAATTCTAGCTACATAACCGAAGGTGTGGAAGAAGTAAGGAGGCAGTAGATGTATATACAATCAAGGTCACAAAAAACGTGGGAAAAAGTAAATATTGTGTGGCCCAGAATGTCTCTGTCTCCCAGGTAGGAAGGTAGAGAAGGAAAGTGGGAGGCTCGCTCAGTGAAGCTCCGAATGCTTATCTTGAGATGTTCCTCCGTGGAGGGGAAAAGCTACACCATTACTGAGAACATACAAGGCCACTCCCTGTTTTTCCTGCCCCGCCTCTTGATGTAGAACATGGTTAGTTTCAGTATGGCGCTCCTCCTTCAAGCACGTCAGCTAGCATAAGTAGTCAGCTTTCGCTTGGATTCCACAAGCCATGTTCCGTCAGTCCCAGTAATTCATCCTCCTCCAAGTGTTAGGCCGAGCTGGTTCCTCGGTCACCTGGATACCCTAAATACATAACCGGTAGCTCTCTTCCCCTGTGGCACATCCAAGTTTCTATTCATCTCTCAAGGCCCAGTTCACACAGCCTACCTTGACCTTCCCAGTGTGTGCTCAGAATGGAGAGAGAGTGTTCATGTATGACTGAAAAATGGTGCTCTACACTAGAATTTGACACAACATTGTAAAATAACTGTTACTCAATAAAAAACTTTAAAAATATATATATATATATATTTTCTCCCCCCCCCCAAAAAAAAGAATGGAGACAGAGGACCTCTAGCCATTTATCCAACCCACTTTGTCTTTTGCTCAGCATACAACCAATCTTTTCTATCCCTGTGACATTTTGTACTTCTTAAATTCATGAGGTCCCTTTACAGTCATTCCCTACCCTTTCTTTTGCAACTTCTGAAGAGCATCACAGGGTGAATCTCAGCCGGGGACCCTGCAGACCCTCTGGCCGCCTCCTGCACGCCCAGGAGAAGGCGGGCCGCGGGTGGCGCTCTGACCGTTAACGCTGGGGCGGGAGTCGTCTTCTGGGAGTTTAGAAGTAGGCGTGAGTCTGAGGACTAAGATGGCCTTTCTTGTTTCCTCGGCCACACAATTCAAGGAGATGAGTCATCCGGTCCAGGCCATCATAACTCATCATCCTGTCTTGAGTTGTAGAAACTGACTGTAATCGCTGTGTCCCCCTTTACAGTATCGGAGGCTAACCCAGAGCCGCCCTCCAGTTTAGTAGACTCTGAACTCAGAGTTATACCTAGCTTCAACCTCTGACTTGAAGTGGTTCTGTTCATCTTTTCCACAAATTGTTGGCTTTTAGCTGATCTGTCATTACAGAGTATCTGTCAGAGAAGAATGTTTTAAACTGGAAATTCAGGTAGGAAGCATAGGCACGCCCGCGAGGGAAAATACAATCAGAGAAGGATGAGCCTAGGAAACCCACCGTGGCTCCTTATCAAGGTTCTTCTTACTCTCTGACTTCCTCACGGGTAGACTGATCTAGCTGCGGGGTTTGCCGAGGACAGCCCTGGTGGCTGCTTATCTTCCTGGTATAATTAACGGGATCCCCTTCCAACTGAGATTGCCCCAGTTTGGACGCCAAAGTGCACGGTCACCATAATTACAGGAGAAAAGGCTGCCCTAGCAAGAATTAGTAGTAGGACTGATACTTTGTCTTAGGCTGTTTCACTCTGGTTGTCAGTTACAAATATTGGCAGCTTCAAGTACTTTTAACTGGCTGATGTTATTAGCCCACCCCTGCATTATAAATGCAGCCTCTCTTATACTCAGGTTCAAGCTTTCTCGATTTCTTACCCACTGGGTGCCTTTGCCCCAGTAGGCGTGACAGTATTCAGTCCTGGAGCTTGGCCTTCTGTCTCTACACTAAAGCCATGGGTTGTTAAGAGATGCCCCTGGAACAGCTGCACTGTGATGCAGTCATAGGATGAAGTGTTTGCCTATTAAACTTAGAAGTACTTGAGTGATTTGGAAGAAATGCATGAAATTATTCCTTAATCTCAGCATTATAAAACAAGCAAGAAGGTAACTGTAAGGTGTCCCTGAGCTGTAGGATAATGGGCAGCCTTTTCTTACCTTGACCTCAGTGTCCTCCAAGTCTCTCAAATGATCACCTTCCTCTTTTGGGGGAAAAGAAGCAAGAAAGATTTTTCTGAGTTTCTCCTGGAGCTTGGCAGTTGAGTGCTAATTAGACTATAACATATCAAAATGCAGTTGTACCCCCAACGGTAAGGTAGGGCTCTTGGGTAAGTGATTTCGACTTTAACCTGCAAATAAACTTCCACAGTGAAGAAGACGTGTGCAGAGTCTGACTTTGTGTGCAACAATGGCCAGTGTGTTCCCAACCGATGGCAGTGTGATGGGGATCCTGACTGTGAAGACGGCTCTGATGAGAGCCCGGAACAGTGCCGTGAGTGACGCTTGCTTTGGACTTGAACTTTCCCAGGCAGTCCTCTGCCTCACAGCTCTAAGTATTGTTTAGTCTAAACCTTGGTTAGTTTCCCTTGGCCTCCCTTAAAGTTAGGCCAATCGACTCCAAGGTCAGTCAAGTCATTAACAATTGATCTTTAATAACATCAAGAATGTTCTCCCTAGTCTAACAAGACTGACATTCTCTTGGGTAGCTTCACCATTGAACATTTAAGACTGAAGCCAGAAGATGTGATTAAGAACTCCTTGACTAGGTGCAAAGATTACAAATGTTTGATAATCATGACTCTGAGCAGATAGTACTTTGGTCCTGGAAGCTAAGTCAAGATGTGAGGGTCCCCCGTGGGCCAAGTAAAAACTTTTAGATGCACAGCTTCTCATGTTACGAAAACATCTATTACTGAAGGGGTAAGGGGACTAGAAATAGGATGACAGTGATTTTTAACAAACATGTAACCTAACCTTATCAAGGTAGGGAGCTTACAGCTTATTCTTAAATAAGAGAAACTTCGTAGGTATGCGAATGTATGTGTGTCTTTAGGCTGATACTCAGGAAAAAAGTCTTTGAGACCATGGAGGAAGATGATATGGGACAGATAAACTGGAATCATTTAAATGTCACGGTGAAGAAAGTCTCAGTGTTCATTTTAAGGGAGTAGAGGCCTGTTAAAGCACTAAAAGTGGAAGTCTGACAGGAACAAAGTTGAGGTCTGGAGTACAATGACCCAGGAGAATCAAGTGGAAAGGAAGATGAGTGTGTTAAGTTCTGTTTTCTTGGCAAGTCAGGGGAGTAATAAGAGCATTGGTCCAGGCAGGTGAGCTACCCAGGTGAAGACGGGTTCCATAAAGATTTAGCCCCAGGTTTTAGCAGTGGGATGATGCAGTCAGTCAAGAATTAGGGGATACCCTTCTTTGCAAGATGCCGATCTAAAGGAGGTGGTGAAGGAGGCCGCTGAAGCAACAGAGGCCAAGGAAGACCTCCCAGGCGTTAGACCACCTGGCCTTGAATGAAGTTAGGGTTAGGTGACAACATCTGGGGGCGTCGCTTGCTACCCAACACATAATGGTCAGGGAGCAGGCAAGCCAGTGAACCTCACCACGCCAAGACAGACAACAGCCGGGACTGAGCACGCCACGGAACCTTGCAGGAGTACCACGCGCTCAGGGCTCTCGGGTGCTGCCAGGTAGCGCAGGTTGGCTGGCGGTGTGGCTTCCACGCGGTGGAGCTGGCGAAGGGTCTGGCCCAGCTTCTGCCGGCGAGTCGAGTTTCACCAGTGTGTCCGGCCGCTGAGTTACAGATGTGACAGACATTAGCACCTCCAGGCAGCACGGGAGCAGCAGCTTTGCCCTGATGAGTTCGGAGGCTCTTTTGAGACTGTATATCGTCAACAGATATGAGAACTTGCCGTATAAATGAGATCAGCTGCGGCGCCCGCTCCACTCAGTGCATCCCCGTGTCCTGGCGATGCGATGGTGAAAGTGATTGTGACAGTGGAGAAGACGAGGAAAACTGTGGTAAGAAGATCAGTGTTGAGTGGCCTGTCCTGAAAGAGCCTTTTGCGCAAAGCAGGGTGGGCAGGGGAAGCCGGTCTGAGCATGCAGGTGCAGTTCAGGTGACTTGCTTTTCAGTGACTTCACTATCTGCTCAACTACTGGTCCTTCCTCGCGGCCCTCCAGCTCTGAGGGGAGTCCGCAGGGTAGCTGCCCACTTCTTGCTTTGGCATTTCCTCTAGGCAAGTAAAAATAAGAAGGTAAGTCATTCCAGGCACCTCCATGGAGCAGTAGCTCAGCAAAGCAGCAGGTGTGTGCACTTTTGTCTCTGTTGGGACAGTCAAGTCATAGCCCCTCCTAATTTGGGCTCAATCAAACTAGAAGGAGACTGAGGCCAGCAGGTGCATCCCTAGGTCTCAGTGGGATCTGTTTAGCGGAATAAGAAGTTACTTCAGCCTCACCCAAGCACGTCTCAGCCCCCAAACTCAATTCTGTCATAACCTTTCCCAAAGTTTCCCAAAGTTCACCTTGGACGAATTAACATCTCGCTGGCAGATACCCAAAGAAAACTCTACCCCACTGGTGGTACCTCTGTCTCCTATCACAGTTCCTGCCTGTAGATGCTAACTGTTTCCTAGCCTTTCATGTCTCTGCTCTTGGAAAGTGTGTAATAAAACGCTGCATGTTAAAGGTGAGGCCCTGGGAAAATCTCTGAGTTGTACAAACATCGCTTTGAATGTTCTTTCAAGCTACCGCCCTTTTTATAGGGCCTCTAAAACGGCAGCTCCCGAGGCTGACGAGGGCGGGTCTCCTGAAGCAGTAAGTGTACAGTGAGCTGAGGGCTTTTGCAGCTGAAACACCGGTCTTGCATGTAGAAGTCACCTCCTGAGGTCATTACCACTGCACCTAGTCCAATGAGTCTTGGCATTTAATCCTAGAACTGAGCCTTGTGTATTGGTGAGCTCTGGAGCTGCCAAGTGGTTCCCTCTTAAATCTAGACTTTGCTTCCCAAGAGAGTCGTGGTCTCCACCCCAGTTACCACCAAATTGTGACCTTAATAAATCTGGCTGGAATTTTGAGTCAAAGTACAACCCGGCCTGTCTGACTGGCTTATCATCATTAGCACACCTGGCTGCTAGCTTGCGATTCTAGCCCTTGTGGTGACTTTCTAAAACTTGAAAGTCTTTAAGACCTGTTATTCCTGCTCCTTAAGGACCAAAAGAGAAGGAACCGTGCATGGTGGGGTAACATAATGGCTTCTTTTCCGTAATGGGGTCATGAAGCTTATTATGAATGAACATTTCCTTGTACAACTGAGGCATGATAGTTTCAGCTCATGACGGGGCCTGGCCTGATGAGCAGGATAGCCACTGAGAGATAACTCACGTCTGCCTTCCCCACTGAAATCTCTTGTGACAGTTTGTGTTATTAATCACTGTGCCTCTAAGAGTCCATTGTGCTTCTTATCTCAAATGAATTTCTAGTCTTCCACTGTTTTCTTGGTCCTTTATTTCTGTTCTTACTCAAATGTCCTTGCTTCTTTTCCATGGTAAGACTGTTTCCTAGTATTCTGGGAACGAACTATATCATTTGACTTTAGCTGTTCAGTTAAGCCAGAAGCTGAGATTCATGCTCAAAAATCTGCATGTTAGATTTGGGGACAAGAGGCTTGAAGGGACCAGTCCTGATGCATTTTCATTGGGACATCTTCTCTCTCAACAGGCAACATAACATGTAGCCCCGATGAGTTCACGTGCTCCAGTGGCCGCTGCATCTCCAGGAATTTCGTGTGCAACGGCCAGGATGACTGTAGCGATGGCAGCGATGAGCTGGACTGCGCTCCCCCGACCTGCGGGCCCCACGAGTTCCAATGCAGCACCTCCTCCTGCATCCCCATCAGCTGGGTGTGCGACGATGACGCGGACTGCTCGGACCAGTCGGATGAGTCGCTCGAGCAGTGTGGCCGCCAGCCAGTGATCCACACCAGGTGCCCGGCCAGCGAGATCCAGTGCGGCTCTGGCGAGTGCATCCACAAGAAGTGGCGATGCGACGGGGATCCTGACTGTAAGGACGGCAGCGACGAGGTCAACTGCCGTAAGTAGCCCTCTTCTCGGTGTGACGTGTTCGGTTCCTGTCCATGCATCTCTTTCATCTGCCTTCATTCCATGCCATGCCCTCCTTCTGTAGCTTCTCGAACGTGCCGACCCGACCAGTTTGAGTGCGAGGATGGGAGCTGCATCCATGGCAGCAGGCAGTGTAACGGCATCCGAGACTGCGTCGACGGTTCTGATGAAGTCAACTGCAAAAATGGTGAGGGTCTCTTCTGCTGGGGGATTCGTCAAGGACTGCTCTGATCAGACCCATCATTGGAGCCTCTCTTCTGGCTTTCTCTTTGCAGTCAATCAGTGCTTGGGCCCCGGAAAATTCAAGTGCAGAAGCGGGGAATGCATAGATATGAGTAAAGTGTGTAACCAAGAGCAGGACTGCAGGGACTGGAGTGACGAGCCCCTGAAAGAATGTCGTAAGTGAAGGGCCTGCTTGCGTACAGAGTTGGGAAGGTTCATTAGATCCAGCAGAGCTGATGTGGTTTGGACCCTGAGCAAGACCTGGGTAAACTACTTTAATGAACTAGGTTCAGTTGTTGGGCTTAAGAGTGAAATTTTATGACTTAAAAAAAAGCCCACGCAGTGACAAACTAGTTCATAATTTCACCTCCTTAGATAACCGATCCAAAAAAAAAAAAGGTAACCAATCAGCCTTAGAGAAACTTGGCCAAATACTGTTTAACTAACTGGTAACCTGTCAAGGAGATTGGATTCACTGTCCCCCCATACAGGCTGAGATGCATAACTGTGAGACAGATTATCAGATCTTAGAAAAATGGATTTGACCAGACTATCTAAATGAGTTATAGCCTGGATTTTAAGTGTAAATAGGACGAATATCAATTTGGAAGAAGTGTTGAATCGCTCTACTACGTTTTTATTTCAGATGTAAATGAATGCTTGGTTAATAATGGCGGATGTTCCCATATCTGCAAAGACCTAGTTATAGGCTATGAATGTGACTGTGCAGCTGGGTTTGAACTGATAGATAGGAAAACGTGTGGAGGTGAGTCAAAGAACAGAACCCGAGCCCCCTGGGGTGATGGGAAAAGTCAGTAGATCTCTGTAGGTTACCTGGGACCAGCAAGACTAATTCTAATTTCCCTCCTAGATATTGATGAATGCCAAAATCCGGGAATCTGCAGTCAAATTTGTATCAACTTAAAAGGCGGTTACAAGTGTGAATGTAGTCGTGGCTATCAAATGGATCTTGCCACTGGCGTGTGCAAGGCAGTAGGTAAATGGACTTGGACTAGTGTTGCTCTGGTACCTTTATGAGTAAGTGCTTATGAAAGGTACAGCCAGTGATTGCGATAGTCAAACGACATGAAATTAAAATACTACTTGAGAGCAATGCTACTAAACTCACGGCGCAATATCATAGGTCAAATAGCAGATAATTTCCCCAGACACCTGCCTTGTCAATTCCTTTTGCGTATATGGTGCCATGAATACCCGCTTACACTCTGCTTCCAAAACTTGAATGCAGTTCAGATAAGTAACTTACTCACCAGCTGTCCTCTTGCTGAATGTGACCTCAGGACTGCTTTCTTAAACAGTAGGAAGTGCTTGCAGGTCCCAGGGGCATGGGCCTTCAGCAAGAGTACCCCTGAGGTGTTCAGCAGTGCCTTCACTGTTTAAATGCTCCTCTGTTGGGAGGAGGTGACTTGGAAAGGACCTTGTCTGGTTATAGCAAAACTAAATTAACTGGACTCTTTCTTGCAGGCAAAGAGCCCAGTCTGATCTTCACCAATAGAAGAGACATCAGGAAGATTGGCCTGGAGAGAAAAGAATATATCCAACTAGTTGAACAGCTAAGAAACACTGTGGCTCTCGATGCTGATATTGCTGCTCAGAAACTATTCTGGGCTGATTTGAGCCAAAAGGCCATCTTCAGGTAACTTTCAGTTCCTTTCTTGGTGTCTTTTGGCATAAATCATTGTCACTGGCCTTTGGGGCAGTTTGGAGGGATTTCTCTTGTCTCTAGCTCTAGTCCAGCATCTAATTAGTTGGGAATATTAAATCTAAACACTGATTCTTTAATTATTAAATTACTATCAGTTCCTCATTAGAAACTAACAATCACCTATAAAATAACAGATGGCCACAACTGTAAGATTATAAAAGATACCATCTTCATTTCTCCTATTTTCTCCCCTTTCTCTACAGTTAGTTGAGAGCTGTTCATAGTTGCTTCAAGTAGAAATGGTAGTGGTAGCTTTTTCTTAATGGGAACCACAGAAACGCAGATGACGGTTAGTAAAACCAGTAGCTTCACCTAGAAGCGTGGTGTTCTTCCAGGTAGAATACACCCCAACAGCGAGATACCCGACGGTATCAGTAGTTTAGAATCAGTGAGCAGCATGGTTCCATTCTCTGAGTGGTAAGCTGAGCTACGGTGTTACTTGAACTCTTTCTGAACAAAGCTGTTGACCATTTTGTGAGCAGAAAGTCCATTCTGCAGGCTCTGATGGTGTCAAACTCTTAAATTTCTTGTGACCTATTCTGTTTCAGTGCCTCAATTGATGACAAGGTTGGTAGACATGTTAAAATGATCGACAATGTCTATAATCCTGCAGCCATTGCAGTTGATTGGGTGTACAAGACCATCTACTGGACTGATGCGGCTTCTAAGACTATTTCAGTAGCTACCCTAGACGGAACCAAGAGGAAGTTCCTGTTTAGCTCGGACTTGCGAGAGCCTGCCTCCATAGCCGTGGACCCACTGTCGGGGTTTGTATTCTGTTTTTCATCACGTAGCCTTTTGGATGCCATCTGCACAGGTCAGGAGCTCTCCTCATGCCACAAGTAGTACTGAAATCCCAACACTCATCAGCCCCCCACAACAAAGAATTGTCCAGTACAGGGTGTGAGCAGTACTACGGTTGAACAACCCTGGAATGGCCTTCCCTGAGCAGGTGACTGCTGGTGAACATTATGAGACAACATTTCTGATTTGATGTACACCAAAAGCCGTATCTAAACCCTTCTGCCCACCCAGCGTCTATGCAACCTCTATGCAAGTGATTTTTAAAGTTTTTGTCTGTACAATTTACCGGGTCAGCTCTGTAGGATCCAACCTAAGTAGACGCGAGTTGTGGGGCTTCTGGTACCCACACTACCGCAGGGCTCTCATCTAAAATGTGCAAGTCGTCTGAAAGTCCAATCGAAATAAACAGACCTCTAGAAACATTTCACAGAGGATGTCCCCTCAGTTACCCCTAAATAATACAGAAAGGCAGCTGTTAGGAATTTGACTAAGACCGCAGTAATCACACTTGGCCCCCAGTGAAGCCTCACTAGGACACGGTCAGCCCGCCCCCACTGTAAAACTTAACAGATACTCATCTTTTATTCTTTTGAAAGAATTGGCCATTTCAAAAGGAACTATATAAGCAGTGACTTGAGGCTGAAATTTAAATATCAGATTTATACAGATCTAGTTCATATTGAGCATGTAGATTCTTTGTGTTAACTTTTGTTTACCCAGCACGTAATTTAGACCCTTAAGCGGTACCATTTATACTCTGGAGTTTTCTGCACACTCTTGGAACGTGTCTGTTTCAAGCTACAACTTTATTCCTTCTAACCCACTAAGGCTGCTTTCTAATTTAATTCTTCCCAGCTTTGTTTACTGGTCAGACTGGGGTGAGCCAGCTAAAATAGAAAAAGCAGGAATGAATGGATTTGATAGACGGGCCCTGGTGACAGCGGACATCCAATGGCCCAATGGAATCACACTTGGTATGTACGTTCTCCCTTCCTGGACCACGACTCAACTGTCTTCACAGAATCTTCACTCCTCTCCATAGTTAATTCTGGACCATAGCTGACAACTCTCCTGGTTCCTTCTGTAGCAGGGATTTGGGATGAGAGTAACAGAACAGTACAAGTGGAATGGTGGACTTAAAGAATTACGTGTTTCATAATTACTAGCTTTTCTACCCATTTGGGGCTAATGTGTGATAGGAATTAGGTGAATCTTGGGTCCCAGGAACTCTCATCCTAAATACTCCTGGCATAGATGCCTTAGCATTTCCTGAATTACAGGCTCATAACAGTTTTCTTCTGGCTTATAAGGGGTGGGGGCAGGAAAATCCTAGCCTCTTTTAACACTTTCATGAGGTGAGTAACACTTCTTAAGTCAGTTACTTTGACAATCTTAGATACCCCTTTAGCCATCCCCCAAATGAATGCAGGTAGATTCTGCATGCTGCTCCATGAGATTTAGGGGACTCTATTACGAACCCCTGCTGGAGAAGGAACCTGGAAAGTGGACCACTGGATTCCTTAGATACCTTAAACAGAAGCGGAGCAGTACTGACTTCTTACACGATGACCATGCTTTTTCTCCTAGACCTTATAAAGGGCCGCCTCTATTGGCTGGATTCCAAATTGCACATGTTGTCCAGTGTGGACCTGAACGGCCAAGATCGCCGGATAGTCCTCAAGTCTCTGGAGTTCCTAGCTCATCCTCTGGCGCTAACGATATTTGAGGTAAGACGTGTGTCACACATCTGAGTTACTCTAGCACCTTGGGGAGAAAGAACAGGCACGGGGGAAGGAGGAGCATGACTTGAGAAATTGCTTTCTCTTAAAAGCTGGGACAGATGAGGCCCTGATTCCTCATAGCATTTTGAGAAACCTAAACTTGCTGCTCTTGGAGTTTTTACATCTGATGTCCCAGAGCAGCCTTAAATAAACTTGGTCCATTCAATTGCCAGTAAATAATAATGACCCTTAGATGCTGACTTGTGTTCGTGCTAATTTGGGGGTTCTGTTTCAGGATCGTGTCTACTGGATAGACGGGGAAAACGAAGCAGTCTATGGTGCCAATAAATTCACTGGATTAGAGCTTGCCACTCTGGTGAACAACCTGAATGATGCCCAGGACATCATTGTCTATCATGAACTTGTCCAGCCCTCAGGTATTAGGGAGAAGCAGAGCCCATCGTGTCTGCTTAAGGGCGGCAGCCCGACACGGTGCCAGCTGGATGTCAGTTGCTCTCGAGCAACTCAGCTTGCCCTAAAACGGAACCTCCCCCACCATACGCGCCCTCAAACACTTCAGACCTGGTGTTCACAGTGTTTTATTTCCGACTTCCAAGGGAAAGACTTCAGCTCTTACCTTCCCTCCTAGCCCTCAGTGCTCCATCTTTCATTTTTGTCCTTCCCACGTGCCCTAGGCCTTCTCTCCTCCTGGGAAGACTGTTGCGCAGGCTCTACCTCCCGCCCCCCACCTCCACCCCACGACAAATGCAGAACCGTGTAGACCCTCGCACGCGTCTGACCGTGCTGCCTCCCGCCCGCAGTCCTTGACTAGTTGTATTTAAGTGAAGGCTGTGAGCCTCCCTAGAGCAGGGTTCCTGCCACTTTGTGGGAACAAAGCGAGACAAAGCGGAAGAACACGCTCCTCCCCTCCTCTGAGCCTTTGCTGTGAGCTTCGTACCGACCGCGAGTGCCAGTCCCGGTCGCTCATCTGTTTAAGGCGTGACTCTAATTCTACGTCCAAGAATTCCCTTTGGGCCTGTGGTGTCTTTAGAGCAGGCTGCCTGTACCCTTATTTATTCCTCCTCGGTACTGGTTCAACCCTACGGTTTGACATAGGAGACGAGTTTAAACTCCTTGGAGACAAGGACTCTTGTCTTCAGCGCCTAGAACAAAACTTTACGTATGGAGCAGGCCCTGGAATACCCATTTTAAAGGACTTTTATTTCTGAATAGGTAAAAATTGGTGTGAAGAAGACATGGAGAATGGGGGATGTGAATACCTCTGCCTGCCAGCCCCGCAGATCAGTGACCACTCTCCAAAGTACACCTGTTCCTGTCCCAGTGGGCACAGTCTAGAGGACAACGGCCGGGGGTGCCAAAGTAAGGCTTCTTACTTTTCAACCGCAAGCAGGACGTACAACAGGCAATAGCTGAAAACGCTAGCTGTACAACAGGACTTGAAGGATTCTGTTTTCACCAGCTCTTGGAATAGACTGGAGAGCATACCTGCTGCCGTTGCATGCCAGGTGTTTATGTCACTGCTTCAAAACTCTTACTTCATTTCAACATTAGATGAGTCTATCAGTGATTTGGACCTGTTTGCCCTGTAACAGCCCTGAGCCAGCCAACTGACAGATAATTAAAGTCTTAACATTCTCCTCCAAAGAGAGAGGCCTGAAATTATGCTTAAAGAAGGCCATGGTTACAAGAAACCTTCTGGCCCCAGTGGGTGACATTATCTTCAACTCCTACTTAAAATGAAACTTGCATTTGAGTCTTCTGTTCTGAGCTTTTGATTAAGAGGCAAATAAACGTGTGTACTGAGTCAGGATCTCACACTGTGAGATCTGTGTTGGTGTAATACCCAGTCCCCACAGGTCCCCGCTCAGTTTACCGAGAAAGCAGTTACAAGACAATCTGTCTTGTACGAGCGTGCCTGAGAGCATTTCCTGTAACTCCCAGGAGCCTGGGACTTTGCTTAGAGGGGTCATTGAGTGTGGCTGTATGTCTTTTGAACTGTCAAATTCCAAAAGCTTCCCATGCTGCCCGAAGACTCCTGTGTCTCTGGTTTTGCATGAAGACTGCCGTTTCCCTCAGTTGTGACACACCCGCCATGCAACTTGGTTTAGCAGTGGTTTGTCACTCACACTATCTCATGGCCTGCCTGGACTAAACAGCTAGCCACTCTGGCACCTTGGCCTTAACCAGGCTCTTGGTTTTATAATTCAGGCACTGCAGCTACTGTGGCTTACAATGAGAATAAAGATACCAACACAACAGAAATTTCACCAACTAGTGGACTAGTTCCTGGAGGTACTGGGTTCAGTACTGCAAATTGTTAATTCAACTAACAGCCGCATTCTTTGTATCTGTTCCTTAAATAATTAATGCAGCCTTTAACTACTAGTCATGCCCCTAGTTGGTAACCTACATTTAAACTCCAAAGACTTCGAACCTGCAAATCGTAGCCTGGCCTGACTTCTTAAGATGTCTGTGAGAGAACTGTGCGTTAATAGCCATGACAGCACGTGACTCTCCAATACTTCTAGACCGGCTGTCCTTGGTATACAGCTGTAGCAGACACTGCACGTCAGTGATGGACACAAGGCTCTCTACCAAATAGCTGAATTTCGTGGTCTGCATACAGATCCTTCTAAACTGATTCCTTTTACCCCCCTGTAGGGATCAACGTGACCACAGCAGTATCGGAAGTCAGTGTTCCCCCAAAAGGGACTTCTGCTGCCTGGGCCATCCTTCCCCTCTGTAAGTAGACTCCCCACCTATCTGGACCCAGTGAAAGTCTTCCAGTCCAGATGGGTATTTCTAGTTCATCTAGAGACACCCCTCCACGGCCTCCCGTAGCGTCAGAGCACTCATGACACTGAAGTGCCTCTGCTCCCTCCCCAGCGTGGCACACTGAGCTCAGAGGTCCGCACCTTTCTCTTCAGTGGTTTCCTTAGCACGGTGACCGGAGACGGGCAGGGATGAGTGTTCAGCTACTGCATGAACTCTATGCAGACCTGTTCAGCAGGCTTATCCCCTTTCATCATAAGTCCCTTCAAGTCAAGAGCACCCTTCCCTTCCCCTTTGCAATATGTGTGATACTTCATACAGAGAAGGTGCACAAATGCTTAAACTATTCCTTGAGGAGTTATAGAACTCGTAGAGGGTGAATTTAAAACAGTTGAGAATTTTCAGACCCAGAAGAGGGCCCTCTAACATGAGGCACGTGCATTCTAAGGCACTGTGTGCTATAATGGCCTCCTTATCCTCAGCTACCAGATTCCAAACTTAGCTACACACCAGGAGGACCAGTTGAATAACTCTCCAGAAGCTTCCACAGTCTGAACTCAGTCAGCCTGGGGAGGCCCAGGACTCTAACTTGCCCAGATGGGCGTGTCGAGCTGAGCGTCAGTCTCTAGAATGACCCAGCCAAGGGTCTGCACTTGTTTTACACTTCTGGCCTGTTTATACTCTAACTTCTAGTTACCCCAGCTTCATAAAACAGGAAACTTTTATTAATGTCCATAATCATGGATTCTTGAACGTGATCTTTTTTGTATGTTGAGGCTAGATCTAGCTTAGCCACCTTCTAACTTTCTTTCAGTGCTCCTGGCAATGGCAGCAGTGGGTGGCTACTTGATGTGGCGGAATTGGCAGCACAAGAACATGAAAAGCATGAACTTCGACAATCCTGTGTACCTGAAGACCACGGAGGAGGACCTGTCAATAGACATCGGTAGACACGGCGCTTCTGTTGGACACACGTACCCGGCAGTAAGTCAGCTTTGTGTCTTTCTGCACCATGACTCGCAGCACCACGTTTTGGAAAGGAGACAACATCTCAAGCTATGGCTGCCTGGGCAAGGAAGGGCCATTCGAATCATAGAGCCACCGAATCTTCCATCTCCTGCCTGGAGATGAGACAGTCTAGCCCGTTTGAATTACGTCAGCTGACAGATACCAGCCCCCATCAGAATGACAGTTAAGTCAACTTAAGGACATCACTGTCCTATTTGAGAGACTTGGGTTATAGAAATTACATGTAAATATTAGCATGAACCAAAGATCTCCTTTTTGAACTTTTAAGTCAGTTGCCTACTAGATTCTTAAAGGTAAATGAGCATGTCATATATAAGAGGGCTTGACTTAACTTAAAGTCAGTGTATTGAGCAAGATTCATTTAGCCAGAATGACCTAGAAGAGCCACTAGAAATGATCACTTCGCCCAGAAGAGCCAACTTCCCTTTTGGCAGTGGAGTCCTTCCCTTTTGCTTCAGGTGAAACCCACACAGAGTATTTGGCCCTCACTTAGGGAACAGGCTGAACAAACAAGTGCTGGGCCCTCCCTCTCAAGGGCTAGTGCAACCAGAATGGTGGCCAGTTCACGGCACACACGCGTCTTTCCACAGTTTTCTCCAGGTCTTGAGATCATTAAGTGGAACAGGCAGAATCAATCACACTATTTTCTCTCTCTACCGGGTAAGATACAGTTGAATTCAAGTGAAAACACATTAGTGATGCAACTAAGTACTGTTCGGGATCTGGCATCCCTTCCTGCACCTCTGGTCTCTGCATGACCAGCTCAAAAGCAAGGTTCGCTTCAGAGACTGAAGTTGCTACCAGGGAGGGATCCCCTACTCACCCCCATCCTTTTTCTTTCCCACAGATATCAGTTGTAAGCACAGACGATGATCTAGCTTGACTTCTGAGACAAGTCACGACCTCTGAGGTCTAAACCAGTAAAAGCCCCACTTCGGAATGGTAACCGAGCCAGCAGCTGAAGTCTCTTCCTCCAGTTTGGAAGAACATCAAGATATCTTTGCGTGGATCAAGCTTGTATACTTAACCCTTTTTATATTACTTTTGTAAATATTCCTGTCCACATTCTACTTCAGCTTTGGACGTGGTTACCAAGAGTGTCTGTAACCCTTGAACTTCTAGACAGTATTGCCACCTCTGGCCAAATATGCACTTTCCCTAGAAAGCCATATTCCAGCAATGAACCTTGTGCTATAGTGTATACCACCTGTACATACACTGTATAGGCATCTGTAAATACCCCGGAGAACAATCACTATTCTTAAGCACTTTGAAAATATTTCTATGTAAATTATTGTAAACTTTTTTCAATGGTTGGGACAATGGCAATAGGATAAAACGGGTTACTAAGATGAAATTGCCAAAAAAAAAATTTGTAAACTAATTTTGTACGTATGAATGAAATCTTTGACCTCAGTGGAGGTTTGCAAAGACTAAGTGTTCAAACTACTGTACATTTTTTTTTCCAAGTGCTAAAAAAATTAAACCAAGCAGCTTAACCGTGGTTTGTGCCTATTCCTCTTAAGAGAAGCTTCTGTAAACAGCTTGAGTAGTATCAGGTGTTCTAAATATATGAGCTATAGCTCTTAATATTGTACCGTATGCCTGTAATTTGGCTTATTTCTCTTACAACTAAAAGAATGAGGTACCAGTTAATACTTGCCTCCCTAAATACTTCTTGTTTTGTAGCAGAAGCTAGCTTAGCCTGTATCTAGAATTCCTCTTGCTTTCAGGACAGTTCCTTTTCTTATTAATTTGTTTCCCCATCTAGGAACATATGCTAAGACTTCTATGAGTTCTACTTCTTTATATTTAAGTCTCTGTTTCCTATGTCCTTTCATTATATATTGTTCAAGGATAAGTGCCTTCCAAGGAATGGGTAAGGACTTCCTTCTTTTATAAGTCTAGACAGTCCACCGTGAAGAGAGCTAGGGAGGTAACGAGAAGTGTCATTCTTGAACAATCTAAAGCCGTGGTTTTCAGGGTGGTTAAGGTTAGCATCTGCATCACCTGCAAACTTGTTAAATGCGCCAGTTCTCAGGCCTCATTCCAGACCTGCTGAAGCAGAAACTCTGAGGGTGAGGTCCAGGAATGTGTGTTTTTACAAGCCCTTCAGGTGATTGATTCTGATAGGAACTAAAATTTGAAAACCACTGTTCTAAAGTGACTTCATGGAGAATCTGTAAGATAATCTAATTTTTCAGCCTGGCCAGCACAGGGTGGATCCCGTCTATGGACAATTTCTGAAACATTTAGTATGAAGAACAGATAAGGAACTTGAATAGAAGAAAAAAGTAGCACAAGGCTTGCCTAAGTTTTCCACCAGATCGGCCATTTCTTTCTCCAAAGCCTCAGGAAGCCAACAAGCAAGGGAAGAGACAAAGCTGGAAGGCCTGGGAAGATGCTCTAAGTCCAAGGTAATGTGACGGTCCACTGCAGCAGATGTGGCAGTTCCTTGGGGGATAAAGCGTCCAGTGCAAGAGCAAAAGGGTGACGGGAAGATGCTCTGAGCATGACTCCTTACATGAGTCACATTCCACCTGCATACAGAATATAAGTAGAACACTTGACATCTTGCTTGTAACCTAGGCAAAGAGATCACGAATCCTAGATGAAGAAGTGGCTTCTGTCATCCTGTTTAATAGATACCCTCTTGTGATTTTGGCCAAATAGATGAAAGTACAAGAATAGGCATGGATCTTTTGTGTGTGTGTGGGAGGCGTAGAGGTCGAGCACATAGAGGAAAAGGATGTAGTTGTGCAGTTAGGACTCTCGGCTGGCCCCCTGTGCCTCCTCTTCAAACAGCCCTGACCTTAGCGGGATGTGGCCTGCTGATGTGAGGCATCTGAAGTGCCTGTTTGATACGTAGGTTAGCATTCATCGTATGTAAGCACTAAAGGCTGTTGGGTTGACTGGGACTTTGACCATGCTGTGGTACAAGGCCCACTGATTGGTATAGTCATTTGGCGCAATACAGAATTCCCTCCTAGGAAGCTTAAAGATACCAGTGTTTTCCCCCGTTATAAGGATTATACAGTATTAACCAACTATATGGCCCAAAGTCATAATTTCTAAGAACAAAATCAAGCATAGTTCTCCATCATTTTCTCTTGGATTCCAGTCCCTGGTATGATCCTTCAGGTTCTATGTCCCAATTTCCAACCTTCAAAGAGTCAAGCATCTCATTCTTTGACCTTGCCTTCCAAAGTAGCCAAGGACAGAAACTCTAACTTAAGAGGTACAGATTCACTTAAAGAAATAAACTGTTTCCATTGAAATTAGAATATTTATATGGCTAGTCAATTCTGCATGAAGTAATAGATCACAGGGGACGAGCCATGTGCATTCAGTCTGCAAACAAGAACTTAAGGATCCTATGTGAAACCTATTGGCCTAAGTTTGCCATGTCTCTCGAGTTCATTGCAGGAGGTGAGAATTCACCAAGATAAAACACGAAGCCTATCAAACACTAAAGGAGAATGTTTGGAGCTAAATGAGCCTGTTGTACAAAGTCACAGAAAGGAAGTTCTTTTGCAACTTTACCAATTGCCACAAAAACGGATGATAGAGGAATAAACAGATTTGTGGCCTCTGGTAGGAAAAAAAAAAAAACTCCAGCCAAGTCTCTAAGTCCAAATTTTTCAGTGGCCTTTGCAAGCTACCAGTTTGGCAAGAAGTGGTCCCAGGTGTTCACCCAACTTCCTTAAACATTCTTATAGCTATTTCACAGCCTTGGTGTCATTTCCAAGCCTGTGGTGTTCCAATCGTGATGAATACAAGGCAAAAAAATCGAGACTTCAACTTGAGTACGTGCTTCTGTTCCTTATATCTTTAGAAGTCTGATGGCCCTTAAAAAATGAGAAGACAGGCTCTAAATAGCAAAGCTATAGGACATTAAGAGGACTAACTCTTCAGCTTATACCTAGAAGTGGGGGTCCCCCAATACAGGTTTACCTTTCAACTACCCCCACACACAGACAGACGGTTCTGATGGGGTGCACTCCTGTGTCAGGCAGCCTAACGGGAGTAACTGCCTAGAATTCTTACCTTGGGAAGCGGTTCATCTTTGAACTCAAATGGAAGCTAAAATCCTTGTTTTTAGTGGTGGGGAGACGCTGACGAAGCACATACATTTTTGCTAGGACAACTTAGGTCCAAGAGTGAAGAACACAACCTGCTGGTCTTTATCACTGATTTTGAGCCCTCAGTTTCATAATCAAGTGTTCAGCCTGCCTGGGAAGAATGAGAACCGTATGCTCGTGCTTCAGCCGTATCACGGACCTGTGGAAGTTCAGGGATACACGAAAGTCGAGAAAGGCTTCAAAGTTACCTTGCTTCCAAATACTGGGGAAATGAATCTGAAGATTAAACAACGGCATTTTGCGGACTTAACGTCTCTCAAATCAAGCATGGACGCTTCCCAGCCCAAAATGACTTCCTGTGAAGGGGGATCAGCCCCTTTTGCGCAGACCTCGTTCCTGTCTACTTCCACACAGGAAAAGCTGCGCGTGGGACAGCAGTGAGGTCCTGTGTGTGAGAGGCGGGGGTCCCTGCACAGGCGAGTAAGAAACACACTGCAGCAGTGTCCCATCGCTCTGTCGTGTCTCCTGCCTGGGTTCAGTGGTTCCGAGCCTGGCTCATCTGAGAGATAGGAATGAAGTGGGACCACGGACTGCTGGCCCCCCACCCCCGTAAGTCTTGCAGTCACAGGCAGGAGTCAGGCAGGCTGGCGCTCTGCAGGCGCCCCCACGGCACATCTTCAGCAGCCTTCCTCTTCACTGAGCTCAAGGGAAAAGCCCAGAAGGCAGGAAGGAGGTAAAGGGCGCTGACTGCCCTGTCTGTCTAGCATGTGGCTCATCACACCAGTTACTACGCCTCTCCGTGAACAGAGATGGTGGGGACGACCTCGCCGTGACATGGTAAGGATTAAGTGAGAACGCACGCAAATGTCTGGGGGCCCGCACAGGCTTTGGATAGCAGCTGAAGCACTTTGAATCTCCCTTCACGTCTCACCATGTGGTTAGTAATGTGCCAAACCAATGTGCTCATATTTCACTTGATCTTCCCAACAACCTGAACAGGTAAGTATTATCTCCATGTTACAGGTGTGAAAACTGAGGCTACAAAGAATGTGTGATTCCAAACCCAATGTGCTTCCTGGCTTCACGTCCCAGAAAACGAGGCAGTACTGGGTAAAGGTTAAGTTGAATGTCACGCTGTATGTTGGCTGAGTTCCCTTTCCTATGACCTTAGGACACTTCGGCAGCGTCTCAGGTGTCTCCCGTGCCCACAATGGCTGGCCTCCAGCACGGCAGCACGCTGGACGTGTAGCGCTAACAGCCACATCAGGCCAGCGCAGAATAACCATGTTACTCATGTGCCTCCAAGATGCCAGAAGTTCCAGAATTACTTAACTTGGCCATCATGTGAAGTAGTCGACTATTGGACTGCAAAGTAAAAGATAAAGATTCCCTAAAGGACTTTATAGATAGGCAACATCATTCCTGTGCGCAAAGACATTGGGGAAAACAAGCTGTAACACAACCAGTGGTAGATTTGAGGGCTCTCCTAAGGAGATACATGCCCAAGAAGACAGGCAGAACTGACCTGAGTCCACGGAGTGATGATGCTAGAATACTAGGGCTGGATCTTAGGGATTCTGGAATCTACCCTGGAGACCCAGCATTTCTCACATTTCACACGTGCGTGGGGGGTGGGGGCTAGAGAATTCTTTGAACAAAATGACTGGCTTTGACACAACTATCTTTTCTCTTAAAAATGTCACTTGATACCAAAATGGGATTGAAGAGTATGTCATGCCTCAGGAGTCCAGAGCGTACAACCGACTATCGCGCTCAAAATCTCCAGAATTCTAGAGGCACATGCTGGGACACATCCAGTCCTGCTGACCTGTGGATAAACATTTATTAATGAACTGGACATTTACCTTAAATAAAGGCTTATTTTCAAGATCATTATTGTGAGCCTTTCCTTTTTCTAGAAAAGTTTTCATTTTGTTTTTTTAAGCTTTTGCCCAAGTCTTTCTCCTCTTCTCAGCTGTATCATGGAAAGATGGCTCCGTCACACCTTTCTGAGAATCAGCTCGGGCTGCTCAGATCTGGGCTCATCAAGTTGAAAGCATGAGAACGGTCCCCTTTCTGGCCATAAGGAGAAGTCGAGTTAGCGCCTCACCCTAGGCAACTAATGTGTCACCCTCTCAAACCCCGCCTTCCCACCCCTCCCATCAGAGGAACGAAAATCAAAGCTCCTATTACCGAGGAATGCAAGGGCAGACCTTCCTCCTGTGGGGGACGGAGCACAGGCCCTAAAGGGAGGAAGCCCAGGGCAGCAGGACAGACAGGCCCTGACAAGCTGGTCCAATCACTTTGATACTTTCCCCTCAGCAGCGCTCAGGTGGTCTGTGTTGAAATTCGTTTCTAGTAAGGCTCAACGTCTGTGAGGCTCAGAGAGATTCCGTCTGAAACTCTTGCCCAGCCATGGCTC